TAGATCATTGGGTTTTGTCTTGGGGGGGGGGGAGGCAAGGAGGCCAGGTGAAAAATATTGAAAAATTGTCTCATGCTGTTCTAACTCTATTGAAAAAGCTGGCTCTGGAGTTAGAATTTGGTCTGCCTGCTCCGGATTCAATCATGTTTGTTTAAAAATTTCCTCCAAAGTCTGTGTCCTGGGCGAGGCAGGCTGAGAGAGATCTCTGCGGCCATTACCAGCCAGCTGAGTAACGCTGCGCTCTGAGGGAAGCAAGAAGGCAGTTTGGTTCAGCACTACTAACTAAGGAGCGAGTGCTTGTTCAAACTTTGGAGTCTGATGGTGAGCACTTGAGTCATTGATTTCAGACATATTTAAGCACAGCACAATTTGGAGAAAACTTTCCTGTTGATAATTAAGTCACTCTCCTGTGCACGATACATCACAAAGTAAACTAAGCAAAGATCAGACGGGATCCTGTTGAGACTCCGTACTTGGGACACCTCCATAGAGATGCAGTCTATAGGCTGACTGCATGTAATAACGCCTTTTATAAAGACAGGTTCTATAGATTGGTAAACTCATGATAAGGGTCTTGGGGGAGGATCTGGTGTCTGTGTGTGGCCATACAGACAGCACAAAGGTCACCAGGCTACTAACCAAGTCAGCTCCCAGCCTTCAGGGTAGGTAATACGTTATGCATCTCTACCTTTGACAGAATTACCCTGAGTGTTTAACATTCCAGGATCCCCCCGAGCTTATCTGTGACCACAAGGACTTCCTTGTCTCCCACAGAGGTCACCTGACCTGTGCTAGGAAAAAGGGTGAGAAAAACAGAACAGCCCAAGAGGAGACACCACACGCTTATAATCAGCTAAAAAGTAAATTATTCCCAATAGGAATTAGGGTGGCTTGTCTAATACTCCTTTCCTTGATTTGAACTCTCTAAATATTGCCCCCAATTATATCTAAAACTTTTGCTGAAGTATAAACTTTATCTAAGGATTTTCTGAATCTTAGGATTTGTAAATTCATTGGGTGTGGTTTAAAAGATCTGTAAAATCTGTGACAAAATTTACCTTAAAACTTCTAACAGGGGCCGCGCAGAGATGGCTCAGAGGTTAAGAGCATTGATTGTTCTTCCCGAGGTCCCGAGTTCAATTCCCATGGCGGCTCACAACCACTTGTAATGAGATTTGATGCCCTTTTCTGGTGTGTCTGAAGACAGAGACAGTGAATATATATATAAGATAAATAAATCTTAAAAAAAATCTATACATAGGTAATATTTGTTACAGGACGCTTGTATGTAACCTGGATTCAAGTTTCATTTATGAGAAGAGAAATTCTTTTTTGATTTTACTTTTACTTTTTTTTTTTTAAGATTTATTTTATGTATATGAGTACACTGTCACTGTCTTCACACACTCTAGAAGAGGGCATCAGATCCCATTACAGATGGTTGTGAGCCAACATGTGGTTGCTGGGAATTGAACTCATGACCTCTGGAGGAGCAGTCAGTGCTCTTAACCACTGAGCCATCTCTCCAGCCCATAGCTGACATTGCTAATATTTAAACAAATATACAAAGTTCATTATATATGAAAGCAGGAAATACCAGATGCTCTCTGTTCAGATTCAGACATTGGAGGCCGCCTTTAAGTGGCATCTTTTACTTGGCTTCCAGGTGGTTTTTATGCAGGAGTCTGATGTAAGCAAATGGCCTACCTACAATGGCCTTACCCGGCTCTACAACTCTGGAACATGGTCCAGCCAGTTGCACAATTGCTTTTAACTCGGTAATCTCGATTCACAAGTTTTCCTCATGTAACCGACTGTTAATGTTCCCCACAATGTTGTATAGTTGCTACCTCCTGACCTACGTTCTGGATCTCTGCCAACGGTGACGTTTAATCATGACCCTTTGGATGACCCTCTTCTGAGGCGAACGACTGCTCCCCTCATCAACCATATGTCAGCCTTGCAGCAGTTCCCAAGAGACTTACACCCTCTCATCCCTAAAGGTGGTTCGGGTGACCTCTGAAAGAGGATGGACGGGCCATGGGCCATCCAGCGCATCCTTCTGCTTGCCACTCAGTTTTTGGGACTCAGAACGAATGTGGCTGGGCTGAGGCCTCCTTATGCATCTGTTAACCTCTGTCTCACCACCTCAGATCAACTTAATGTCCTTCAGGACCAGCCTAGAGCCCTTGCAGTGCTCCAAGATTAAAGAGGACTACATCTGACTGAAGCTAAGGATGGGATTTGAGCTCTCCTATTGTAACGATGCTGCTTCCGCACGAACAAGTCCTAACTGGTTTGAAAAATGGTCTAAAAACACAAGGACCAGTCAATTCCTTCTAAGTTCCCTTCCACTCTGGCTCCTCCCCTGGATCCCTCTTCCCTCCTCATCCCTACATCGATGCTTTCCCCTGCCTTTTAAATGTTTTACTTACTGAACTTCACCCTATATCCAACAAAATGTTCCACATAAGCTCTCTCAATAGCTCACCCTACCATAGCCCCATTTGTTCCCCATACCTCTGAGAGGTGGTTTGAGTGAAAATGGCCCCAGACCCATAAGGAGTGTGGTGCAATTAGGAGGTGTGGCCTTGTTGGCTCAGGCGTGGCCTTGCTAGGGTGGGTGTGGTCTTGTTGGGGTAGGTGTGACCTTGCTGCTTGAGGGATGAATTAAAAACCCAGTTAGATGGAACTCCTTAGGAAAGAGCTGAGACAGGGGAATGGTTAAGTGGTGCACGTAGGGGCACTGGTCCTGTCCTATCTTACGCTTAAGAGAGCTGCGACAGGCTGAATCCCACGTCACCGGATTCTTTCTGTCAGCTGTATTACTTTCAGCCTTTTCAAGTTTCAGGTTGACTTTGCAATGTAAACTTCTTTACAGTTAAGACTTCAAAATTAAAAAAAAAAGACTTCAAAATTAGCCGGGCGGTGGTGGTGCACGCCTTTAATCCCCGCACTTGGGAGGCAGAGGCAGGCAGATTTCTAAGTTCGAGACCAGCCTGGTCTACAAAGTGAGTTCCAGGACGGCCAGAGCTACACAGAGAAACCCTGTCTCAAAAAACCAAAAAAAAAAAAAAAAAAAAGACTTCTAAATTGACAAAAGAAGAAAGTATACAACATATACTCGTAAGATAAACTATATAAGGTCTGGAGAGATGTCAGGAATTAAGGATGTATTCTGCTCTTCTGGAGGACCCAAGTTTGGTTATCAGCACCCTCATCAGGTAATGTATGTTTTAAGTTTTAATCAGTGTGCCTAAGAGATCTATGAAACAAACAAACAAACAAACAAACAAAATGCCTCTAAGCTGTAAGCTCTTGCCCAGAGTCAGATAATTTCCTGAGACACTGGAGGCTGATGCTCTCATAAGATAACAAGCCACAGGCTTTCACTTCCCTGAACAAGATTGGTTGACTCAACTGCACCAGACGTGCTTGATCACATGTAGGTCAGTTACCTAGGCAGAAAGTGGGTCAGGATGTCTGCTTGCCCCACACCCCACCCAGCATTAGACTAAGACAGGAAGTATATCATTTTGTGAGTTAGCCTTTATAAGCAGCTGGTCAACGTAGCTCATGACCATTTTTTTTTCTGGCCGGGTCAGAGCCCATTATCCTGGCCAGTATTTAATTGAAGGGTGCTTCAAATCTGGCTCCATATTGTAATAGTGGTCTTATTCTTGCCTAGTGGGATTAAGAGTAGCTCATAACTTCCTGATATCTCTAACCTCAGTGAGATCCTGAACTCATGTGCACAAATACACACTTAAAAAATAAGAAGCAAATCTTTAAAAAAAAAAAAAATTTAAGGAAAGAGAGACCCTCCCCCAAACCCAAACTCTCAGAGAAGCCCAAAAACTCTTGGAGAAAGACAAAAGCCATCTTTCATCATGATGAAGTCACCTCATATATGTTATGGCTGAGGGCATAGTCTGGGGTTTTTCTTTCACATGTCTGGATTACGGTACCATGTTTACAGAGATGGAGTTTGCACTGCTGTGCTGGCCTGTTTTCAGTCATCTACACAGACCCTAGCTGAGCACATTTTTCCTTTGTTTCCTTTGTCTGCATTTTGATATACCTGCATTTCGAATTAAGTCTAAATCCTTTTTAGTGTGTCATGGGGTGGGGACTGACTTGACCAGTGCCAACTTGGTTGGGGCTATTCTACACAGGAATCCAAAAAGCATCGCATTTCCTTGTGCTCTGGAAACAATGTATAACATGAACAAAAGGTTAGAGGGGAAGGAAACCTAATTGATTCTGAAGAGCGTGAACATCTGCAAAGAATGTATCCTAAAGAAACCATCACCGAGGGCGCTCATGAGAAACTGTCTAGTTCCCCATGGCAGAGACAGCCCCAACGGCCCCTCCCCGACGTTCTCTCTAAGGACACTGGGACTGCAGCTTGGAGACATGGAAATAGGGTAGGAGACTTCTCAAAACTAACTGTTCATTGGTGTTAAGCTGCAATTTATGAGAAGTCGGAACAGTGATATGGTGGTCTACACTGTGTCATGCAGTGGATATTAACCATGGTCAGCACCATTTTTCTGTGTGCCCTCAGGTTCCTCTATTCTGTTTCAGAGGGCTGGATGCACAAGGCCTTTTAATGATGTTGCCCAGGGACGCAGGATTAATACACTTTTTCTTTTAGAGGTCATGTGGGTCTCTGATTTTTCCCCCCTTTTCTTTTCTTTTTTTTTTTTTTGGTGTTGAAGTTAAACATGGGGCTCACAAATGCTGGGGAAATGCTCTACCTCTGGGCTACACTCCTGGTCTCAGAGTCTCCATTTTTCCATAAAAAGACTCTAGGCAAATGTGGTGGTGCATGCCTCTACCTCCAACATTTGGGGAGCAGAGCCTGGCAGCCTCTCAAAGCTGCTTTACATAGCAAGTTCCAGGCCAGCCAGAGCTACATGGTGAAATCCTGAAACCCTGGAAAACAACAGATAGACAGACAGAGATAGGAGAAAGAAAAACTATTCTAACACAAGTGATTTAAGAACATCAACATTTATTTAACATGATAAAAAAGAAATGAGCTATGAACATTTGCATTAAACTATAGTAAGCAGCCTGATTACATGTGCTCATTGTGTAACCACTACACAATGGACGTAATTACATCTGTACACAGACCAAGTACTGGATCGAAAAGCCTGCTTATTGCTGTACACATCTATTCCAACGACATAAACGTCCAGTACTTCAAAATACCTACGCTTGTAATTGTTTGGCTTTTAAAGAAAAGCTAAGCGACAGCACTTGTGTGGAAGCAGATGGGAGCATGGCAGGAACTGCTGACGGTGCAGTTGACTGAGGAGGGGGTCAGAGCTGAAAACAGGACAGACTTCACTTAGCAGTGAGAAAATGGCACATTTTAAATATATTTATATAAAATTTTTACAAATCAAGTGTCAAACGAAGCACTGCAGAAGCCAAAATGGGAAGAGAAAAGAAAGGAAGCAAACGAGCCTCACAGGAAAGTGTAGCCTCACTGAAAAGCAAAAGAAACCCAAGTCCACTGAGACCTAAGCATCCAGATCTGGGAACTGCAACAAGCAAGCTCTGATGGAGTGTGCGCGAGTGTGCGCGGGAGAAAGCACCTGACTGACACGCTCTGAACTCATAGCAGCAAGCGCGGAGGACAGTGACCTTGACACTACGGAGTGCACATACGGGCCATTAAAGCTATTTTGGAATAAACATTTTCCAAAGGTGATAAAACGATGCTCTGTGGTCAGAAGCATCCGAACTATGAATTTCATAGATTTAAGGTATACTGTACATCTTCTTACACCACTGAGGTCCACAGCTTCAGCTTGGTGTGCTGTCAACAGACGTCAGTGCAGCTGAAAAACACGAGAGCAGAGGTTACTTTTGACATCTGCAAAGCTAATGACTGGTAAGTCACAAAGTAACTAAGGCAGAACAACAGGTGACAAAGGAGGCCTGGAAATCCCTAACCCAGAGCACAGGATGGGTGGGCACTTTCCTCATTTCCTTAATGAAGGAACACCTGAGGACGCAAAGTGTGACGCAATCAATCATACACACAGCAGTTCAGAAACGTCTCCATTGGCTGCAGATCAGTGAAGCAGGCTAGCTCTGCCCAACCTCTCTACTCCCTGAGCTGCAGCCATAGCAGCACTTGTGAGCATCCCTACAGCCTGCCAAAACCACAGGTTCAGAGAATCATGATACTGGCAAGATAAAAGTATCGAGTGTGTCTGTGCCACAGGTTAGCTATGTGCTGTCTGTGCCTAGCTGTAACACCCATTGCCACTGGAGCTGATGTAACAGGTAAGACACAATCCAGCAACAAATTACCAAACTGGCGCATCTAAGGTCCTACTGTCCTTTGTTACAGGAACAGTTACTGGACCATAAATCATGGCCTGACCAAAAATTCATGAGGACACCCTTTTGTTTTGACATGAAGCTCAGGCTAGCCTGGAATTTTTAATTCTCCTGCCTCTTCCTCCCAAGTGCTGGAATTATTGGTGTACACCATCATGCCTGACTCTTTGTGATGCTGAGAATTGAATCCAGAACTTCATGTGTACGTGCTATACCAACTGAGCGACATGCCCAGCTCCTGTAGAGAGTTTTGTGTTTTGAGACAGGGTCTCACCATGCAGCTTTGGTCCCTGGAGCTCACTATGTAAACACTAGGCTGCCCTCAAGCTCAGAGAAATCCACTGGTGTCTGCCTCTCAGGAGCTAGGATTAAAGGCTGTGGTACCTGGCCCGGTGAATGTTCTCACTGTCCATTTGTTCACTAACAGAGGTAGAGGACACCTGTTAGGCCACAAGTATGTTTATGTTTCCTGTCTAGTGTCATTGTGTCACCAGAGTCACCTTTACACAACCAAAAAGTTCTGTGAGTGAAAAAGGCAAGCCACAGACACAGCTATAACAACAGGTCTCTTCTAACTCTAGTGAAAAAGGCAAGCCACAGACACAGTTATAACAATAGGTCTCTTTTAACTCTAGTGAAAAAGGCATGCCACAGACACAGTTATAACAATAGGTCTCTTCTTACTCTAGTGAAAAAGGCATGCCACAGACACAGTTATAACAATAGGTCTCTTCTTACTCTAGTGAAGCTCCTCAACCCAGTAAGGAAGCTACACCACAACCCACGGGGGCTGCAAGTCAAAGTGCAGAGCTACGTCAAAAGCCAGGATGAAGACAGACCCCAGACAAGAGGCCGCTACATGGATGGCCAGGTACATCTAAGACTTTCTGACAGCTTGTGTTACTGCTTATGACCATTCTGGAACTTATAACTCAAAAGTTCTCAGCAGTATAAGAGGTAGTAGATGCTGGGAAAACATATAGAAGAGGCATACAAATTCTCACTTCCGTTTTTCAGGGAAACCATTTACTTGTAAGCACAAATCTGTGAGTAAAGTGGGTTCTGTGCACACAGTTTATATTGTTTAAAAGTAGGAGTCTGGTGTGTGTGGGATGTCGGTGAGATAGTTTAGCAGTGCCTATGAACACACTGATAACTCAAGTTCAAACCCCAGAATGTTCACAGTGGCAGGACAGAAGTTGTCCTTTGGCCTTCACACACTTATTGTGACACACTCATGTGGCATATCCATCACACACACACATTACATATATAAGACACATATTACTATTGTGTAACAGTAATAAAAAAAAGTCCAAAAGCAGGAGTTACTCAGAAAGTCACCCTCAGCTCTCTTTATCCTGGCTCCAGCCACGGTTTCGGGATGTCAAAGCTCTGCCCCAGACTGTATCATAAAGATCACTTTACCCAAAGGGCAGCACCTGCTTCCTCAGTCCTGAGTGTGGGCAGGATGTCCCAGGGCACAGCTGCAGTGCTGCAAGGAGGGCTGGCACAGGCCGCTCACTTCAGATTTTGCTGTATTTATGGATGATGGTATGAGAGATTGAGAGAAAACACCGCCAGAGACCCACTTCTTTCAAGGCCAGTGTGAGAAACCTGAGGTCTGGCCTGGACTTTGTATACATGGCCTGGCACTCTGGTGGCATGCAGTTAATTCACCTGCTGTCCCAACAAATGGAGACAATCCAAGTAACATCCTCCTAACACAAGGCACCAAAGAGAGAAGAGAAGACATACTTCTGAGACTACACACACATGAAGTGCGATCCTTCAGTGAGCTGGGGTGGACTGGGTGGAGCTGCTGCCATGGAGGAGTCAGGAGACGGGGGCAGACTTTTCACTAAAACACACCAAGAAAACAGAAGATAAGTATAGACACACAAACACATACACATACACATACATCAGTGTTGTTTAGAACAAAGATAGTTGATATTTATTGTGTGTTTGTGTGTGCACAAGTGTGTACATCTTTGTAGAGGTCAAAAGACATCTTACAAATCCAACTAATGCCGGGCATGGTGGTACAAGCCTAATCCTAGAACTTGGGAGGCAGAACAGGCCTCTTGAGTTTGAGGCTAGTCTGGTCTACAAAGTGAGTTCCAGGAACACCAGGGCCACACAGAGAAATCTTGTCTCAAAAAACCAAAAAGGAAAAAAAAAAGGAAAAAGGAAAAGAAAGAACAGTTAAACGGGTCTTCTGAGCATCCATATGCACCATGTGGCCTGTTAGTCCTTTTATTGCTTTGAAGTCAGTTCCCAGCTATGTCAGAAAGTGCTGTTGTGTCTTTTCTAGTTCATGCCAAGGAAGTGTCAGTGTTGCAGGCTTACCACCACGGCGGCACTCTGACCCAGAGCGGCTCTAATGGTTACAGAGTGGGAATCCCTGTGCTCACTGCCTGGTCTGCAGCTGAGAATGTCTCACAGGGAACATAGCTGACAGACACTTTCCTAAGGGTGGCCCTCAGTCAGCCAGTTCATTGTTGCTACTCTCGTTGGTATCAGGCCAGCGTGACAGAGAGTTTAGGAGTTTAGAGGACTGAAAAGGGTTTTGCTTACAGAGTACAGGAGGCAGCAGCAGGAGTGAAGAACAGTCTCAGAAGGCCAAGGGTCCAGCCCACACTCACACAGCACCACCCGAGAGACAGAGTCGGAGAGAGAGCAGCACGACCACCTTCTCTCTGATGTGCCGTGCACATCATGGGATTCCCATGACATCTGTGCACCGGGGGACTAACCAGAGCAAACACAACCCCACAGCTCCCAAAGACTCAGCTGTGGTTTCTAAGAATCCTGGCCTGTAAGATTTCCATTAGGAAGAAATCTTTTGAAAAATATTTTGTTTTCAATTATGTTGCAGGGAGGGCATGGTGGCCCACACCTTTAATCCAGTACTCACAAGGCAGAGGCAAGAGGAACTTTGAGGCCAGCCTGGTCTACAAAGCAAGTTCCAGGACAACTAGGGCTGTTACCCAGAGAAACTCTGTCTCAACAACAACAAATGCACACGTGTGTAGAGGTGTGCACCCGTGGTTTCCAGGACAACTGAGCTGCTGTTACACAGAGGAAGCCTCTCTCAGTAACAACAACAAAATCTTTGTCTCTGTGGAGGAGGGTGCAAGTCATCTCAGGCGCTCAGGGCACCGTATGAGGATGCAGACTGTAAAAGCACTAAGCAGTGTGTAACTTAACCGAGCTGTCTCTCTAGCCCTAATGACTTCTGAGACAAGGTCATGCTAGGTTAGTACAGGAACTGCAACAGAGTCAGCATGCTTGGCTCTTCTAGAGAAACAGTTCATTGTGTCATGGTTGAAAATGAAACGAAAACGAATTCTCTGAGCCCCAGGCTACGTACGGGATTAGAGCGGGTACAGCTGCTTCCTCCACAGTCCAGGGGCACATGTCCCAGGTACAAAGGTAAAGAGACCACACAGAGGAGGGAGGCCCTTGGTAGACTCCCCGTAGAAGTAAAAGCCCCACTAACGGAAGTAGTGAGCTTGCAGTACACACGTACCTGTGCTTTGAGTCTCCCTAGGAACCTCAGGAGCTGGCTCATAGGAAGCAAGAGTTTCTTCCTCTTCATGGAGACTCTCTGCTTCTTCAGGGGGGCCTTCCGCTTGATGGTTTGTCATGGCCGCCTCTTCCTGAGGGCTGATGGGAACAGACTGGCATGTTAAAACTTGCAGGACACCATCCAGCTTCTTTGTCCTTGTGACTTGGGGTCTGGCTACACGGCCTCGGCTGATTCTGACTCAGCTCTCCAACTGACGCCACGGCTGCGAACCACCACACCCGGCTTCCCTCTAATTTCTAATGGAAACTCATGCTATACAGAAGCTGGCTGTGTGGTCCACTCCTGCAATCGCTGTACAGAAGCCAGAGGCAGGGTGATAACAAGTTCAGGTCACGCTGACGTCCTCAGCCAGCCTGGCCTACATGGGACCCTCAACAAACACACACACCCTCTCATACAGAAAAGATGCTACCATCTTTTTTTTTTTTGTTTTGTTTTTCGAGACAGGGTTTCTCTGTGTAGTTCTGGCTGTCCTGGAACTCACTCTGAAGACCAGGCTGGGCTCGAACTCAGAAATCCCCCTGCCTCTGCCTCCCAAGTGCTGGGATTAAAGGCGTGCGCCACCGCTGCCCAACCATCTCTATTTAATAACTATTAATGCTTTTTTCATGTTATTTTCTTTCTTATAAAATGCAGAACAGAAGACTGGAACAAACGATGTGTGAACGCTGCCTACTCAGCGCCAGCCACTCCCACTCTGCCACCTGTGTTTCAGCTAAACCTCACATGGAGCCGACTCCCTAAACCAACATCTTTTCAAAGTTCTTTTCCATTATGTATATAGGTGTTCTGTCTGCTTCTATGCTTGCATACCATATGCATGCACGGTATCCTCAGAGGACAGAAGAGGGCGTCAGTCTCTGGATGTGGAGTTAGAGACAGCAGTGAGCTGCCATGTGCATTTTGGGAATCCAATCTAAGTCTTCCATAAGAGCAGCCTGGTACTCTTACCTGTTGAGCTATCTCTCCAGCCCTAGCCAGGGTCTCTTCTTGGATTTGGCTAGTCTGGCAGGTACAAGAGCTCCTGGGACACACCTGTCTCTGCCCAGCCTCCCACAGTGTCAAGTACGAGTGTGCTCTGTGGTTTTAGCTTGTATGTGCACACCAGGTATCTAAACTCATCACCTCATGTTTGTACAGAAAGCACTGAACTCATTTCTCTAGGCCCTTAAAGTCTATTTCTGCTGGGCAGTGGTGGCACACGCCTTTAATCCCAGCACTTGGGAGGCAGAGGTAGGCGGATTTCTGAGTTTGAGGCCAGCCTGCTCTATAGAGTGAGTTCCAGGACAGCCAGGGCTACACAGAGAAACCCTGTCTTGAAAAAAAAAAAGTCTATTTCTGATCCAAACACTTGCTTTGTTTGTTTGGTTTTCTGAGACACGGTCTCTCTATGTAGCCCTGGCTATCCTGGAATTGCTCTATAGTCCAATCTGGTTTCAAACTCAGAGATCTCCCTGCCTCTGCCTCCTGAGCCCTCCTAGAGCCAGTTTAGCTCACTGAGTTTAAAGAACCCCACAGCTGGGCTGCAGGGATGCTCAGCAGTTTAGAGCACTGGCTGCTCCTGGAGAGGACACGGTTTCTGTCCATATGGCAGTTCACAAGCGTGTGTTAAATCTAGTTCTGGCTTCGGCAGACACTGCACATACACAGTGTACACATATACACGCAGGCAAAATACACATAGACAAATAAGTAAATCATACAAGGAGCCTCGGCTGGCTTTCTGAAGCGTTGATCCTTCTCTTCTTTAGCTCTTACCTGCATGACCCATCTGCAGGCACCTGCTCTTTATGCCTTTCCTTCTCCATCACTTCCTCAGAAGTCACTCCATTTGGTTCAGGTGTGTAAAGCATTTCATAAAAAATACTTTCAGTTCTTTTTAGCTACAAATAAGAAGAAGTGATTCTCAATGTGTACTTAGTATATTTAATATTAGTAAACCAGAAACGATAACATTAATTAAAGATTATGCCCCCCAAATAGTTGTAGATAAATTTAGATTTAAGTATATTAAAAATTGCTGGGCAGTGGTGGCGCACGCCTTTAATCCCAGCACTTGGGAGGCAGAGGCAGACGGATTTCTGAGTTTGAGAGTTCGAGGCTAGCCTGGTCTACAGAGTGAGTTCCAGGACAGCCAGGGCTCCACAGAGAAACCCTGTCTCGAAAAAACTGAACCGAACCAAACCAAAAAAAAAAGTATATTAAAAAATTAACATTATTTACTACTAAAATGCATAAGGTCATTTATACAAGAGACAATGCACATTACAGACATAGTTATCGGATGATATTTTTATGTGGTGAACCCATCTATGAAATTAAAGAGAATCTGTCATTTAGACTCAGAGCTCGCTGACTGAAAACATACCGTGATCCCCTCAGTCCCACCTTCCACATCTGCACTTGTACCTTTCTGCTGACGTCTGCATTTTGGGGTCCAGCTTCTCGTAGGTGAGCAGCTTCTGCTGCTGGAGTTTCACCGTCTGGCTTTACATCACTTTCTCCGTGGACGGGGATGGCGTCGAGCTCCTTTACGTTATCATCCCTCCTTAGGGTCTGCTCGAACACAGAGAGCATCCTTATTTATGTACTTTTGCTCACCACTGTTGTTTGAGACAGAGTCTCACTCCAGATTGGCCCAGAACTCACTAGATAGCTCAGGCTGGCCGTGAGTTTGTAGTGAGTATCTTTCCTGGGCTTCATGAGTTGGTAGGATTACAGATGGGTCTTGTTAGGTAGCCCAGGCTGGTATGGAAATTGTAGTCCTCTGCCTACAGCTCTTGAACACAGTGGTTCTAGGTGTGTACTACTGCTGCCTAGCCTTAAAGCACTTAGGTTTGACTTATGTGTGTAAGTTCGATGTCTGTACATTGGGTTTGACTATGTGTGTAAGTTCGATGTCTGTGTACATGGGTACCTGTGGAGCCAGAAGAGTCAGGTCTCCTGGAGCTGGAGTTACAGGTCGTTGTGACCTGCTTCATATGGGTGCTGGGAACTGAACCTGGGTCCTCTAGAAGAGCAGCCTGCACTCGTAACCACTGAGCCATTTCTACAGTACTCTTGTTTTTTTGTTTTGTTTTAGACAGTGTCTCATTAGGCAGCCCAGGCTCCTAAATGCTGGGATACATGCTTGAGCGACCACACCCAGCTTTTGCTCTGTTTGCTTCATAAAGTTATCCTTACCCTGGCACTGTGCATGTGTGTGTGTACATTAATAGGCATTAATGTGGAAAAACAAACCCAGAGTTTTACTTACAGGGAAGATTTCTATAAAAAAAAAAGTATGGACTTGCAAGCCAACCAAACCCTTTTCTCCCTAAGTCGCTCTTGGGTCTGGTGTTTATCCCAGTAACAAGCAAACAAGGACAAGGCCTGTCCTGCAGGACAGTTTGCCATGTGCTGACAACTCTGACATGTCTGTCTGTATAAACAGGTCATGCTGTACCACGAGCCTACAGTGGCGATGATTAAGCCGCAGGTGGTGCAAGGGCGTCCGTCCCACAGTTGCTTTGGCTCTCCTCTCTTGAGCACAGGGTTACTTTCATCTTTTTTTTTTTTTAAGGTTTTTCCAGACAAGGTTTCTCTGTGTAGCCCTGGCTGTCCTGGAACTCACTCTGTAGACCAGGCTGGCCTCGAACTCAGAAATCCACCTGCCTCTGCCTCCCAAGTGCTGGGATTAAAGACGTGCGCCACCACCACCCTGCTGGGTTACTTTCATCTTAATAAGCCACCACAGCTTACTATTATAATAATCAAATCATATTTTCTTCCTCTGGAAGAAAAGCAAGCACTCCTAATCACTGGGTCATCACATCATTCCTTATGCTGACTCTTTTGCTCAAAGTTTTCTGGTTCTTTTAAATCATATAAAGCAGCTATCTGTATGGTAGAGCTATTAAAACCTATCAAACATTAAGTCTATGTCTATGTAACTTAGCTGAAGCAGTCATGACAGTGCCTCCTTGTGGCCCGGGTCCTCAGCAGGTTAATACAGGAATGCTTGGCAACAAAGTCAGGTCAAGGTCACATGGACAAATAGTGAGACTCTGTCTTAAACTTTTTTTGGGGGGGATGGGCATAGTGGCGCAGACCTTTCATCCCATCTGGAAGGGCAGAAGCAGGAGGATCTCTGTTAGTTTGAGGCCAGCCTGGTCTACAATTGAGTCCAGGATAGCCAGGGCTATACAGAGAAACCTGGTCTTGAAAAGCCAAAAGAAAGTGGGGTGGGGTGGGGGAGATGCTGTCTCTCGGAAGTGGTGGCAAAAGATCAGGAGCTCAAGGTCGTGCTGAGTGGAGAGACCTGTGCTATCCCTCCCACCCTGAGTAACATAAAGAGGCTGGGTGTGGTTTATGCCTGCAACCCCAACACTGGGAGAAGAGGGAGAATTGTCAGTCCAGCCTGGGCTACTTAAGGTTCCAGCCTGGTCTCATTGCAAACAGCAAGGATAAAAGAGAAACTAGTCAGAGACAGCTTAGTGGATAAGGGTGCTGCTTACTGCCAAGCCTGACAACCTGAGTCCAGCCCCTGGCCAGCTGGAGGGAGAGACCCAGTTCCCATAGGCTGTACTCTCCATATGGGTGTTGTGGAGTGCACACCCATACATGCACAAAACAAAGAAACAGAACATCAGTCCTACCTACAACCTTAGCCTGGTCTGTGATGCATGTCTGTAACCTCAGTTGCAAGAGGACCACGGCAGGAAAATGCTACCCAAGGCCTGCCTACGCTTCAGAAGGAGTTCAAGGAGGTCCCAAACACCTTGGTGAGGCTGTATTAAGGGCTGGGATATGATTCTGAGACAGAGTATTAATTAGCCTGTGACAATGCCCATGGCTAGTGGCCCTTCTGTTACTACCAGCTGGCTGCCTCTTTGCAGCGTATTAAATAAGCCAGTTTTCTTACCAAGCAAGGAGAAAAAATGTATCTACAACAATCAAAAGCAATTAAATCACAACTAAGTCAGCGTACCTGAGTGACCCTGAAAGGGCTGTCCCTCACATCCGAAGGACTCTGTGAGGGAGACGGGTCGCAAGCACTGAGGACACTCAGCCCCTTCTTCCTCTCCCTCAGGCAGGCCTGCTGGTGCCTCCTGATTCTCTCCAGCTGCTCCTCCACAGTCATCCTCGGCCGTGTGCTCTCGGCCAGACACAGCTGCTCCACGGCACTTCTCGGTCTTTCCTTAAAATGAAAGAAAGTCTGTGAACGCACAGGTGTGCACAGTCCCTCAGCTGGTAAAGTAGTTGCATAGCACGCACTAGGCCCTGAGTTGGATTCCAGGCACCAAATAAACCAGGACATCTTTGGCTATACAGAGTTCAAAGCAAGACTGGAGTGCATGAGGTATTGTCTCAAAAACAAACAGATACTTCTAAAATATCATGAATAAAAAATGCTATAATGTAAATTTACAGATTTTTGCTTCAATACCAATAAGGGAACATCAAAGGCATTAGCCTGTGGCAGAGTGCTGGCCTCCTGGTCTCCAGTCCCAACTTTACAAAAATCAACTCAGCCAATCGTAAGGGTGACAGAGCTGAAACAGCCAAAGGGCAGCTGTCTTAGAGAAGCCTGTGCTCGTGCTGTCTCTTTCTGAGTGCCTCTCTCTCCTGTCCCACAGGCTCCAAATCTACCTTAAACAATACTAGTAAACCCTGCTGAAGGGACCCTGGTAGGTGTCAGCACACCCCTTTAGTCCCACCACTTGGGAACACAGCCAGGCAGATCTTTGTGAGTTCAAGTCCAGCCTGGTCTACAGACATCCAAGATAGTCAAGGCTACACAGAGAAACCGTCTCAAAAACCAAATCAAACAAAACACCCCAAACCAAACCAAAATAAAACTATCCTATTAAACTCCAAGGCTGCTTTAAAAGGACAGTGCTGCAGCTGGAGAGCTGGCTTAGTACAGTGCCTGCTGTCCTCATGAGGACCTGAGTCTGGGTCCCCAGCACCATGAGAAAGCCAGGACAGCAGACCTATCTAAAACCCCAGTGCTTGGGTGAGGGAAGGGAGAGGGCAGACAGGCAGGAGTCCACTGAGATACCCTGTGGGGTCCCCCCACCCCATACACATACACACGTGGTTGTCTGTTGTAGTGATACCTTGGGGAGCAGAGGCAGGAAAGTTTGAGGCTAGCCTGGGTTACATATTGATGCCTGTCTTACTAAACATAAATGAATAAATGGTATGGTTTCTTTGACTAAAGTTAGTCCATGTCTCTGAAACAGAAAATGGCATAAACCTCAGATTAGGAGAAGCGGGGGAGGGAAGAAATAGGCAGAATACTTACATAGTGAACATTCTTCTATTTTAGAGAAATGTAATATTTTTCGTCACACATTACTATGAAGTGACTAGTCAAGAAAATACCCTACAATGTTTTTTGATTAACAATAAAACTACAGAAATATTATTTTCTATAAAGTTAGTTTTCATAGTTCTAAACTATCATAAATAGCTAATATCTGTGGGTTTCCTATGTGTCTGTTTCATCTTATATAAATTGAAGGGCTTAGAAATATTAGTCACACTAGGAAAGAAAACTTGTAACACACTTTATATGACAAAGATTTTAAAGTTAAACACATTTTACAATCTGTGGGACAGAATTCATAGATTTTTTGGTTTCCCTGGTCTGCGTTGGCAGTAGGAGGGTATGGTGGTGTGTATGGTGGTGGTATGGTGGCGGTAGGAGGGTATGGTGGTGTGTATG